AACCCTCAGTCCTGCCGGAGCATGAGAGGACTGGGATGGAACAATGGAATGGCACTGATAGCATACATACATGTGCGTGTGTGGGAGTGTGTGTGTGTGCGTTTTGGCTATTTCTAAATATCAGCTGGGATGTTATTGTTGCTTACTCTAGCTCTTTAAAATATTTATGTACAGTCCTGTTTTTTTTTTCAAGCTGCTAAATACATATTTTGTTGTTCCCTGACTACCTGAAGAAGTCAGTGCTGGGTGTCTGTGTGCATCCAGCTCAGCTTAAATTGTTTAGCTTTTGCTTCCATCTCATGCTTCAGTACCAAGGTTTGTCACCGACCCAGTGGTTGTACTTTTGAATGTATTTTTTTAATTGCCAGCAGATGTATTACAAATGATGCCGTGCAGCAGAACGTTTGGTCGTTTGCACTGTCCTTATGGCAATGACATTGCTTTTCTTCATAAATGTCCTACTAGGAAAAAATAAATTGAATAAAGTGTCTTGGTTGTCATTTGGTCATCTGTTTCCAACACATTCATTATCAGCAGCCTGGTTCTTTGGTGGATTTCTACCAGGACGCTTCTCTAGTTGAGAAAATGGCGATTTGGTGATTATGGACATTAGAGAAATTTGTGGTATTTTGTTTCACAGAACCTGAGGCTACACCTTACCTTCAGTGTTTCCCATTGCTGGTGCTCCTTGTTACATTTAAATACCCATCTTCACCTTGAGTACTGGGATTAGTGGTTCCAGAGATTTTTTTTTCCCTTTCTGTAGGGGATAAATTTGGCCCTACTTGTCAATACTAATTTGGCCAGGAGCAGGGATTTATTTTATTTATTTTATTTTATAGCTGTCTTTCATGTCCTTCCATTTATTTTTGAATTCTACACATTTGCTTGCTTATCTGAAATACCAAATTATAGCAGTTACCGTGTGGTGTATTTTAGGATGCTTGTTGTAAGTTAAGGAATTTTTGCATTCAGAGATAAATTATTATCATGGCATGTAGGGAATGCGAAACAGTCTTTTTTTTTTTTTTTTTTTTTTTTA